CCTCTCTCTCTGTCTCTCTCTCTCTCTCTCTGTCCCCCTCTCTCTCTCTGTCTCTCTCTGTCCCTCTCTCTCTCCCTCTCTCTCTCTCTCTTTCTGTCTCTCTCTGTCTCTCTCTCTCTGTCTCTCTCTCTCTCACTGTCCCTCTCTCTCTCTCTCTCTCTCTCTCTCTCTCTCTCTCTCTCTCTCTGTCCCTTTCTGTCCCTCTCTCTCTCTCTGTCTCTCTCTCTGTCTCTCTGTCTCGCTCTCTCTCTCTGTCCCTCTCTGTCGCTCTCTGTCGCTCTCTCTCTGTGTCTCTCTCTGTCTCTCTCTCTCACTGTCCCTCTCTCTCTCTCTCTCACTGTCCCTCTCTCTCTCTCTCTCTCTCTCTCTCTCTCTCCCTCCCTCCCTCTCTCTCTCTCTCTGTCTCTCTCTCTCTCTCTCTCTCTCTCTCTCTCTCTCAGTCTGTCTCTGTCTGTGTCTCTCTCTCTTTCTCAGTCATATGAGTGTAACTTATTCTAGCTGAGCCTAAAACTGCTAATTCTGTTCCCACTAGTTATGGTTTTGGTCAGTTTCTTGTGGACGGTCAGTTTATTGTTTGGGTCTCCAATGCTACCGAGCAGCCAGCTTGACGCACAGCTGCACAGATTCATTGTCCAGCTCGTGGCCTCTGAGAGTGCAAACCACACTTGAACCCTTTCTCAGGGCCTGGACTCAGTCGTCCAGCTGAGCTCTGTGCTGTGTTAATGTGAGTTCATGTGTCTTTCAGATCCAGACGTTCGGAGTGGAGGCGCCGTGTAAAACAGTGGAGGATCTGACCAGCGGAGTGGTCATGGCTCAAGTCCTGCAGAAAATGTGAGGCACACAAACACACATGCACCCTAACCTGACACACATGACTCGCCGACTTCTGTTTACTGAGTTCTCTGTTCCACCGCAGTCAGCTGATTAAAGAAACACACACACACGTTCTTCATACGCTGAATTAGAGATTATCTGTCGGGTGGATTATATACTGTAAATACACCCATCAGGCATAACATGATGACCACCTCCTCGTTTCTACGCTCTTTGTCCATTTTAGCAGCTCCACTTACTATATAGGTGCACTTTGTAGTTCTACAGTTACAGACTGTAGTCCATCTGTTTCTCTGATACTTTGTTAGCCCCCTTTTACCCTGTTCTTCAGTGGTCAGGACCCCCATGGACCCTCACAGAGCAGGTACCATTTGGGTGGTGGATCATTCTCAGCACTGCAGTAACACTGAACACAATGTAATAGATTCAGGCGTTTACACTGATATTATTCTTCTATTTAATGGATTATTTACAGGATTACCCACCTTATTCAATCGGATAGGAATAGTATTCAGGATGGCCTCAGTCGGACTAGACTATTCCGATTGAGGTGTTTACATGGATGTACTCTATCCCGATCGAGCTATTAGTTGGATTATTACCAGATTATTATGCTGCATGTAAACATGTAGTAGTGTGAAAGGTGCCAAAACAATAATGGAACAGCAAATAAACAAATCTTATATTGGAGTCCAAGATCACACTAGAACTTTTCCTTGCTGTTCGAATGATTTCTCCTGGAGTGATAAAGCAAAGATAAATGAATTAACATCATAAAGTCTTATGTGAAATTGCTGAGCGCATAGAATCAGTCTGGTCACCAGCCACGAAGTGTCCTAAAGCGTCCTCAGTACAACAACAATAATCCGCCCACAAGAAAACACAGAAACCAAGAACAGAGGGAACATTCCAGTTACTTAAAACACAGATTTTATGCATCTGGGAGGCCAAAATGCTGAGAAAGAAATATCCACATCCATGTAGCTGAGCAGGTCTGTGTGTGTTAGCGCACGAAAACCTCTAATCAGACGGAAACTGTTATTAGATTTTAAACTATATTTCTTTAAAACCATCTGAAGCACCCGGCAAATTAGCTACATTGTCATTCATTGTCATGAATAACATCAGTAAAGTAGAATTAAAAAGCTGTAAACAAACCGCTTGACAACAGTGACTCTGCTGTTTGATGGGCATTATAAAGTGCATAGTTCTGGTCCTAAAATCTGATTGGCTGAGGTGCGTTCAAAGACGTTGTAAAATCTACGATATACCCCTCCTATGACGCCTCACAGCAACTGAACTGTGTATCACGGCGCCACGGCACGAAAATAAATAAACCCTTGTGCTGCCAACCGAATACTCTCTGACTCTAATGCTGCTCGCATGGACCACCGAGTATATTGACGAAGTAAGAACCCGATTCTGGTTTAAACTGAGGGGCTGGAGTCTTATGGTCTTATCTAGAACCAGGCTGGTCAGCTGGCTAACAGGCTAAAAGAGCCAACAGCCCAAACAGCTCCATCATTAATATCACAGGTTTGAGTTAAAGCACTTACAGTGTGATTAACTGTAAAACTGCAGTGTAAAAGTCTAAAAATGTCACTTGAATGTTTTACACACTTCAAATGTTCATGTTTCAGTCAGTAGTACTGTCAGGCTGAATCCCAAATGACTCCGTACTCCCTAAATAGTGTTCTAGCTATGACAGTTTAGAAGTTCTAGCCTCTACAGCCAAACAGTGCATCATGTATCGAGTGTGGATGTGTCTGAGTCTCAAATGACTGTTTCTTAGCTGTGTTATTCACTGTTGGGCTGCAGGATCCAGTATTTAAACTCCTATGTAGTGCACTATGTAGGGAGCAGGGAGCTGTTTGAGATTCAGCCCCAGTGTGAGAAGAGGGCACCACAGGATTGGTGCTAAATATGACTCGCAGTGGTAATTTGGTGACCAAAAAGTACTTATAAAGCAAAGTTTTTTGCATTAAACAGTGCTGTGACATCATATGTTCATTATTATACGACAAAATCTTTAAAAAATCATGAAATGACCGCAATATACTGCGATGGGCGACCGAACGTTCTCCTCATTGAGCGGTCCATGGTTGCTTGGCAAGGATACCAGACTCTAAAGGAACTACATTCCATAGTGGAATACTTGTTTATGTTGATTATTAATAATAATAACTCAAATTTTTCTCTGAATAGTCATGTATTTTATCATATTTTATGTTTTCCACCATTTTATAAAAGCAGTAAGCCGCTTGAGGCCGCGCATTACAGTGATTTTATCACAGGGAAGTTTTACTCCGCTGCCCGTCGTGCCTAAAAACACCCTTCCCGGTGATAAAGTCGCAGTAACCCACGGCCTCCTGTGGCTTATTGCTTTAATATATGATGGATATAAAGTTTATTATTTCTCAAATATACAGTTAAAATAAAAATGAAAAGCAGTAATGCAGTATTTGATATCACAGTCGGATGTATGCAGAGTCTGAGCCTGTCTCTCTCTCTTTTCCCCTCTTCTGATCTTCCCTTCGTTCCCATTTTCCTCTTGTCCCTCTGTCCGTCTCCCCTCCTCAGAGATGCCGTGTACTTCAGTGACAGCTGGATAAGCCGTATTAAGTCAGAAGTTGGTGATAATTGGAGGCTGAAGGTAAACGGCTGTTTTGGGCTGCTGTTTTCTTGGAGGTTCCTGCAGATAAACGTGTACATTTTGAAGTGTAACGATGTGCCGCGTTTGTTTTTCCTCCTTTCTTTTCCAGATCAGTAACCTAAAGAAAATATTGAAAGGTATTCTGGATTACAACCGTGAGGTAGGATGAGAATGAAACGCCTCAGTTTGTTTGTTTGTTTGTTTGTTTGTTTGTTTTAATTCAGTACAATATACTTCATATCCTTTCCTGATTATATTGCATCTCCACTCTCTCTCCCCTCTTTCTCCCTCCCCCCCTCCCCCTTTCTCTCCCTCCTCTCCCCTTTCTCTCCCTCCTCTCCCCTTTCTCTCCCTCCCTCCCCCCCCATTTCCCTCCCTCCCTCCCTCCCCCTTTCTCTCCCCCCACACCCTACCTCCCTCCCCCTTTCTCTCCCCCCACACCCTACCTCCCTCCCCCTTTCTCTCCCCCCACACCCTCCCTCCCTCCCCCTTTCTCTCTCCACCCTTCTCTCTCCCCCCTTTCTCTCTCCCCTCTTTTTCCCTCCTTCCCCCTTTCTCTCCCTCCTTTCTCTCTTTATCTCTCCATCCCTCCCTCCCTCCCCTCTTTCTCTCTCCCCCCTCCCCCCCTTTCTCTCTCTCCCCCCTCCCCATCCCTCCCCTCTTTCTCTCAGATCTTAGGGCAGCAGATTAATGACTTCACTCTTCCTGACGTTAATTTGATTGGAGAACATTCAGATGCGGCCGAGTTGGGTCGAATGCTGCAGCTTATACTGGGCTGCGCCGTCAACTGTGAACAGAAACAAGGTGTGTGTGTGTGTGCGTGTGTGTGTGCGTGTGCGTGCGTGTGTGTGCGTGTGTGTGCGCGTGTGCGTGCGTGCGTGTGTGTGCACGTGTGCGTGGGTGTGTGAGCTGAATCGTATCTGCTTCAGTGAGAGATGTATTGATGAGAACTGTGGGAGAGTTTCTTGTGTTGAGCTGTGTTTCTTGTGTTGAGCTGTGTTTCTTGTGTTGAGCGTGTGCTGTTTAGAGAAGCCTCAGGCGGTCAGATGCATGCAGAGTGGGAGACTCAGACACTGATCTGTATTCCTCTCTTGTCATCTTTTCCTCCATTCTCCTTTTTTCCTTGCTTGTTTTATGTGCACAGAATTCTCCAGGGACGCACGAAAAAGTTGTGTGTCTAAGATGGCAAACTGACTTTGGGTTCAGTTAAAAGTAGCCTGTCCACATTTATAATCGCCCCCATTAAACTGGTGAACCTTTGATCAGTGTACAGTAAGAAGGGCAAGACAGTATTTCATTTGAATAAAGTTGTGGAGAGGTCAGTGATTTACACTCCCATTCTGTAGTATTTAATTCTGAATGTCTCCACCTTCTACAGAATACATCCAGACCATCATGATGATGGAGGAATCCGTGCAGCATGTTGTCATGACGGCCATCCAAGAGGTGAAGTGAATCCGTCCCGTAATTCCTGAGTGACTCTGCTGGATTCCCTGAGTTTCTTTGTTCACTTTCATCTCATTTTTGTTTTTGTCCTGCAGCTCATGAGCAAAGAGACCCCAGTGTCTGGAGGAAATGACTCGTATGTTGATCTGGACAGACAGGTAGGACAGGTGTTACCTTCTGTGGTGTCTCTGTCTGATTGTCTGTCTGTCTGTCTGTCAAGCTATTCATATGTTTGGCTGTGTGTCAGTCTATCTATCTGCCTGTCTGGCTGGCTGGCTGTCAGTCTGTCTGTCAGGCTATCTATCTATCTGTCTGTCTGTCTGTCTGTCAAGCTATCTATATGTTTGGCTAGCTATCTGTTATCAGTCTGTCTATCTGCCTGTCTGGCTGTCTGTCTGTCAGTCTGTCTGTCAAGCCACCTATCTATTTGGCTATCTGTCTGTCAAGCTATCTGTATGTTTGGTTATCTGTCTGTGTGTCAGTCTATCTATCTGCCTGTCTGTCTGTCTGTCAGTCTATCTGTCAAGCTACCTATCTATTTGGCTACCTATCTGTCTGTCTGTCTGTCTGTCTGTCTGTCTGTCTGTCAAGCTATTTATATATTTGGCTAGCTGTCTGTTATCAGTCTGTCTGTCTGCCTGTCTGTATGTTTGGTTATCTGTCTGTGTGTCAGTCTATCTATCTGTCTATCTGTCTGTCTGTCTGTTAGTCTATCTGCCAAGCTATCTCTCTTTGTTTATCTGTCTGTGTGTCTGATTCTCTCTCTGTCTGTGTTTGTCTGTCAGTCTATCTGTTTGTCTGTCATTCTATCTATCTATCTATCTATCTATCTATCTGTCTACAGTTGGTCAGTGTTTTTAAAGTAGTAATAATATCTACTAAATGCTCTGAAAACCATGTTCTGACGTATTGAGATGAGCGATTGAACGTCGTCCTGTTCATGGCTGTCAGAAAGTGGATCATTGCAGAATTCCAAAGGAGCAGCTCAAGTTTATTTTGACTGATGTCCCTGAGGATTTCAGCCCGAACAGCTTCTTTTCAGCCCAGACATATTTTTGATCGACACACCATGCAGGGCAGCCAATCAGAACAGAGTTCATTTACAGATCGGCTTTAAAGCAGCAGTAACAAACAACCCGTGTAAAGGATAAGGAGAGATTGGAAACAGTACAAACGTTATAACTCGTACTCTTCAGGGGGAAAAATAAGATAAAAATGTACTTTAACATAAAAATGTAGCTTTAAAATAAATCCAGAGCATGTTATCTTGATTAAATCTCAGTTTGTATTTGCTGTTTGTGTAAATGTGTCCTCAGCTGAAGAAGACGCTGGAGGAGCTGAACGATGCTCTGGCCTCTAAAGAGGAAATTGCCCAGCGCTGCCACGAGCTGGACATGCAGGTAAGTTCTCAGCCCCCCTTAACATACATCAGCTTGCTTACACCTGCATTTGACATCATTTTGAATGGCTTCAGGTTCTCTTTGCCGCATAATTATTGTTTTGCTCTTCCATACTTTGCCTCTTGCATACTAAGAAGTGCTTAGTTTCTTCAGATTCATTTCAGCCGTCTCCATCTCTGTAGTGCGCGCTCGTAGAGCAAACTGCGTAGTAAGACAGCTTCCGATAAGTTGCAGCTGCTGAAACTGATGTTTTTGCAACTGTGAGAAGCATTTTCACTTCCCAAACTGCACAGACGTTTTCATTGCCAGACATTTTAATACTACACTGTGAGTTCGAGCTGCTGTACTGGTGAAGATCTAGCGCTTTCCTGTAGAGATGGCACGATACCACATTTACTTTCCTGATGTCGATACCGGTACTGAAACTTTGAGTATCGGCCGATCACGATTCAGTCCGATTCAGTCTGTGTTCACACAGCAGGTGAAAGTTGCCTGAATCTTTTTCCTCATATGTGACGCATATGTGTGTCAGTGTGAACAGATAAACACACTGAACCTGATGCTTTCCTATGTGGTACTGATACCCGATCCGTATCCGATCTGCAGCAATGCGACTCAATCTGAACAGCCAGATCTGAATTCTTGCGACTTTCATGTAAATCCAACTCAACATTCATCATAATTTTGCGCTGCTGAGACTCATAAAAATTCAGGCTGATGTTTCTGTACTAAAAAATTTGAAAATTATCGCAGCCGCTCCGTATTTTGAGAGATTTTGAAAGAAATGACTGAATGCGGGTCAAAAAAAAAAAAAGGTTTAAAGAATTGAGGACGGGAACCAAAGAAGTGACAGTGTCCGAATAACGTGCACTTTTACGGCTCGAACACATTCTGGGTGAAGAGCCCAGCTGTCAGTCAGTGAAGCTTCATGATGGCTCCTGTGATGCTGGTGAAGATGAAGCTGATCCTCCGGGAGCGACTGGCGCTCGTTGGCGGTCATGATTGTAAACCTCTGGATGAGCCGCATGAAGCATTGTCCTTTTCCACATGCTGGTCAGTTTAGGAGCTGATCTGTTCAGACCGATGTCTCATACAGATCACATTCAGAAGATATTCTGAACAGCCAACGATAAAAATCAGAAATCAGATTTGGGCCACTTTTGCCTGCTGTGTGAACATAGCCTATGATTTAAACGTCCTCACTTTTTAAAAAATAAAATTTTGTTGTAGGATTGGTGTAAACATTGTTAAAGTTTAATAAAAAAAAACAAAAAATAACACTAATATCCAAGTCTGTACGGTTCATAAATGGGTAATAAGCTGCAAAAACAGCCCCTTTTGAATTCATTGTTTTTTGTGATATCAAAAAGAACACATTCACACACACCTCACATTCAGCCTACAGCAGTTTAGCTGCCCATTCACACTGAGCTTATAAGGCCTGATTCGGTCTGGACTGCTTTTTGAATAATTCAGAACAGCCAGTCAGAGTAGATGATTTTTACATATATCGTAACAACAACAGCTTGTTTTATTCGAAGGGATGAAGAAAAGCTGTAAAATGATGATGTAAAAATGAATATTTACAACATTACAAGCTAAATAACAAGCCTCATTGCTCAAATCATATTTTTTGCTCAAATCCGATCTCTCTGACACGATGGTTCACACTCGTTTAGGTAAGTGATTTAAATCTGTCATTAATGTAAACGAACTGGCGTCCTGAAATGACCCGGGTGCGCACATCCTACTCAGTAGCCTATGACAAACCCACACAAGCGTCATGAGACAGAAACGGGAAAATTAAAGAACCATGCACAAAATACAGTCCTGCAGCGTTTTTCAGTCGAGAGTCGTACTTGGCTGAAAGTGAAAGTGTCGTGAGAAATGTTCTGCTTTCTGCTTGGTCTTTCTTATGTGAAAAGTATATTAAAATGAACAGCACGTTTAAATCTTGATAGAAAGGAACATGCATGTGAGAGCAGTATGAATTACACTTCACCACACTATGTATTTCATAGTTCAAGAAAAATACAAGGACTCAACAAGCTCTCATTAATGCAAAGCATTTCGCTGGTAATGGCACCCCCTTGTGGAGAGTTTTCAGCCTGCTGTTGAGTGAGAGAGTGAGTTACAAACCAGTTCCAGGAGGTGCTTTGCATCTAAAAATGATGAAAACATATACTTGATTGAATTTATTGGCAAGTGGCTTATTGCCTCTGTAAAACGGCGGCCAACGTATGATAAAATACACGACTTTTCAGAAAATAGTTTAAGTTATTATTAATAATAATCAACAAAGTATTGCGCCAAGAAGTGTAGTTCCTTTAGAGTCTGGTATCCTTGCCAAGCAAGCATGGACCGCTGAATGAGGAGAACGTTTGGTCGCCCATCGCTGTGTATTGTGGTCATTTAATGAATCTTTAAACGTTTTGTTGTATAGTAATGAACATACGATGAGAGAGCACTGTTTAATGCAAAAGCTTTCACTTATAAGTACTTTCTGGTCACCAAATTATCACCGTGAGTCTTATTTAGCTCCAATCCAGCGGCGCCCTCTTCTTGTGCTGGGGCTGAATCTCAAACGGCTCCCTGCTCCCTACATAGTGCACTACGTAGGAGTTTAAATACTGGATCCTGCAGCCCAACAGAGCAAAATACAGCTAAGAAATAGTGATTTGGGATTCAGACACATCCACACTCGATAAATGATGCACTGTTTGGCTGTAGAGGCTAGAACCTCTAAACTTTCATAGCTAGAACACTATTTGGGGAGTACAGAGCCGTTTGGGATTCAGCCTGGGTTTGACTTCTGACTGAAACATGAACATTTGAAGTGTGTAAAACATTCAAGAGACATTTTTAGACTTTTACACTGCCGTTTTACAGTTAATCACACTGTAAGTGCTTTAATTCAAGTCTTTGATATTAATGATGGAGCTGTTTGGGCTGTTGGCTCTTTTAGCCTGTTAGCCAGCTGACCAGCCTGGTTCTAGTTAAGCATATAAGTTGCCAGCCCCTCAGTTTAAACAGAAAATGGGTTGTTACTTCATCAATATACCCAGTGGTCAATGTGAGCGGCAGATCAGTCCATTAACAGCACAAGGGTTTTTTGTGAGGTGGTGCAGTGGTACACGGTTCAGTTGTTGTGAGGCGGTCATAGGTGTGCGTGTATCGTGAATTTTACAACAGCTTCGAACTCGGCTCAGCCAATCAGATTTTAGGACCAGAACTATCCGTTTTATAAATTCTAATAATAGTCTATATGCTATTAAATGGCTACTAAATAGATAGAAATCAAATTCATTTGTTCTTTTCGGGGAGGCACAGAAAATGTGACGGATGTAGAATTATTCATATTCAAATCCATATTCATATATAAATATAATATATAATATCCAAATATAATAATTTTTGTTTGTTCCCTGTAAAGGATGTTAACTTATTTTCACAAAGATGTCATTTGACGAGGGGTCGACAGACTTTTGCATTCAACTGTGTGTCACATTATGCACTTATTAAACATGAAGTATTGTAGTATTAGCAGACTAGCTTATCGCTGCTGTCGGAGCAAAACCTCGTATCTCCATTTTTGTAGTTTTTCAGTTTTTGACATAATTTGAAAAAGCCTGTTGTCTTTTATGTTGTGTGTAAATTTCATGATGAATGGACCAAAAGAAACGGCCCAAAATTACATGGAAAAAATTCTGGTTCCATTGACTTACATTAAAAGTAAAGTAGGTTTTTTCCTTCTCCTGTAAAGTTACCATTTTGGAGATACAAGGTTTTGTTCTGACAGCAGTGACTTCACACCTAAACTACATGTTATCTACGGCATTACAAAGTTCTTTATTACAGAATCGGATCATATTTGGCCTTTTTTTTTGCCATACGTGATCCAGCGTTTTCTGCTGGTATCAGCCGATACGGATACTGGGTATCAGATCGGCGCCATCTCAGTCTTCCTCAGTAGTTGCTTTCCTCTATTCAGAATGGCAGTAGACCTCATTGGCTGTAGTGGAGGTTCGCCTGTTCATGTAGAAAGCAGTAAGCCTCCAGCATTCGCCTTGCATTTTAAGTGCCAGCCATTGTGTAAAGTATAGAAACTGTATTTCTATATGTCTTTATTTCTTTATTCTCTTTTCCTCCTTCTCTCCTGTATCTTTTTTTTTTTGGTGATTTCTACCCTCTGCCTTGCTTTGAAGGCGTACCTCGTGCAAGAGGACCGTGATAGGCTGAGATTAGAGTATATTGAACTAGAGGAGAGGGTAATGTTCCCTTTTTCACTCCTCCTGCTCTCTCACTCTGTGGTGTTTTGGCGTCCAGAGTTTGCTGCCTGCTTTCTATAACATCCCTCAGTAGTTGTGCAGGCCCTTAATCTGTGTGTACGTCTGAGAGAATGAGTGTGTGCTGGCGCCCGACCGATATGAGCATTCTGATGATATTAATGTTAACCGATATAGATGCTCAAAATTGAACATCTACTAGAAATAATCAGCGGCACATCTCAGCATTCATCTGTCGAAACACAACGTCGTTTTCAGACCCACGACATTCAGTCTGATATTTAACGCTTATGTTTCTCCATTCAGACGTCATTTAAATCAGAAACAGAGAGTGAAGTTATCCCGGCTGTCTGCAGCTCCGTTAGGGGGCGACTGTTCATCTCTCGGCTGATAACGTCAGCTAAAGTTATCTAAAGGCCAGCATTGATCTCATCTGTGTTAATTAGCTGATGTCGTTACCCTCCTATGATGACAGAGTGTTTCTCCTCTTTATGAACACCATAGGATCCTTTACCCACCCTGACGTGAAGAGCCGGTGGGCTTCTGTGATTTTAAATGCTGTGAGAGACCCTCCAGAATAGGGAGAGGGGCTGAGTATGAGATCAATATAAATGTCAGGGAAACACTAATGTGGTATCTTTCCTCCAGTTTAAGTGGAATCAGGAGTTCAGGGGAAACTGAATAAGGATCTCAGACTATTTTATCGACTTTGTCGAGGAACGTTTTTCTCTTTCAAAGTAAGGAGAGTCATTTTAGACGTCTTTCACCTCTAGTTACGTTCATGTGGAACAGTGAAGCCAGAAATTCGGTCTCAAATATGGTGACCACAAGAGAAAAATCATGTGACTGAAACTCGAGGACAAGATTCGGGGATTTGGAACTGTGTAATTACATACAGGGGGCTAATTTGGCGGAACTAATCACATCTTACATTGTCATTGCAAGTTAATTGAGCATCACCTTCTATGTCTATATACTGAAGGCCACATTCTGTATATACCCCATCTGTGTATTACAGTTGTATGCAAAAGTTTGGGCACTCCTGCTCAAGTAACATGTTTTCTTGAAGTTAGCATGCTTTACAGTGAACTTCTTAATGTGCAATTACTGTGTATTTACTGAATTTAAAATACTGGGAAAAAATGCATAATAAAATGTGGCCAGTGCGAAAGTTTTATATTATATTTAATGTTGTATTTTTTTTTGAATATATAATATATAATATTATATAATATTGAATATATAATAAACTATTTATAAATAAATAAATAAATACACAACAAAACGTTTATATTATATTTAATGTTGTATTTTTTTGAATGTATAATATTATATAATATTGAATATATAATAAACTATTTATAAATAAATAAATACGCAACAAAAGTTTTATATTATATTTAATGTTGTATTTTTTTGAGTATATAATAATATATAATATATAATTGAATATATAATAAACTGTTTAGAAATAAATAACTACACAACAAATGTTTTATATTATATTTAATGTTTTATTTTTTTGAATGCATAATATATAATATTATGTAATATTGAATATATAATAAACTATAAATAAATAAATAAATATGCAACAAAAGTTTTATATTATATTTAATGTTTTATTTTTTTGAATGTATAATAAACTATTTATAAATAAATAAATAAATATGCAACAAAAGTTTTATATTATATTTAATGTTTTATTTTTCAAATATATCATGAACTATTTTTAAATAAATAAATAGATAGCAATTGTTCTCTCCAATTTGCAGAATAATACTATATTTATGTTTGTTTTCTGTAGATGATGTATTTTTTTATACTTGTATACTTTAATTTATATATAATGACATGTCGGTCGGGCTCTGGTGTGTGTGTGTGTGTGTGTGTGTGTGTGTGTGTGTGTGTGTGTGGTGCATCAACTGCTCCTTGGTGCTGTGTGACTCCACAGACTAATTCCACTCAAACCCCCTCCACCTGTGTGAGAATGCCCCTAGTTTCCATGGCAATGGCAGGCTGCTTACCCATGAGTCTTTGCAGCAACTTTCAGACAGTTTTACTAGATAAAGTGCAGAACTGCACTCATCCCAAACCCATGGCTCCCTATGGGGCTCAGTATAGGGAGGATAAAGAGGCCTTTTAGATACATTACAATCTTTGAAGAGCAGTTAAGGCCATTCAAATTGAATTTTAGGCTGTTTTAAGCCAAAGTTCAGCTAAATGTCAAGTTTACACAGTTTTCCCCCGTATCTCAAATGTAGCCCATCTCCAAGACATGTTTGGTGTCTGAAGTTTGCTTCTTTAGCTTTGCACTGGAGCAGCAATGTAGCTAATGGAAGCTTATAACCACCACTTAGCTTGCCTAGATCATCACATATGTGCCTCAGACTGTGTTGAGTTGAATCTGAAATAGACTTGCTGATGTGGTTTCTAACACCGTATGACCTACTGTTGTATATAGGAATAGAAAGAAAACATTCAGGCTTCAGTGTAGCTGTTAATACCGCTTTTTAACTACGCTACATACTTCTTTGCCCACATTTACGGTGGCTGACAAGACCCTATTCACAGCACAGCGCTGCTGTCAGAACAAAACCTTTTTCAGTTTTTGACATAATTTGAAAATGCCTGTTGCTCCTTATATTGTGTGTAAATTTCATGGTGAATGGACCAAAATAGACGGCCCAAAATGTCTGGTTCCATTGACTTGCATTAAAAGTAAAGTAGGTTTTTTCCTTTTCCTGTAAAGTTATGCTTTTTGGAGATAAGCGGTTTTGTTCCGACGACAGCAACAATTAAAAATACATTGCAAACTCATAAACACACCGCAAATGCAAAAAACACTTCCATCGACGTGACTGCATCGGAGCTACGTTTGACAAACGCGCTGCAGATAAAGAAAACACTGGTGTCTTCAGAAACGCTGCAAAGCCAGTCACAACACAGTGGAAATGTTTCTGGAAGACTCAAAGGGCTCAGAGTGGGAATATCTGTGATGGAAAATCACTGACAGAAGTAGAGAAGATCAGACATCGTAAGTTCATGGTTAGCCTGGATGGCTGGTTTGCTGTCTGACATGTCGTAGCCGTGCTGTGGTAGTTCTCTGGTATTGTTAGTTAACCCTTTACCCTGCGTTCACATTGGCAGCGGCTTTTCGCCTCTTCTCACCCAAATCGCTGGTCACTCATCGCCTGTGGGCTTTTCTAAACTCCAGCAGACCCTTAGGTTGCCTTGGTTTCACTGGCGCCAAGCACAAATCAGATGCGTTCCCACTACCAATAAAAATCCTGGTGAGGAATCGCTTGTGTGCTTATTTTTATTTAATCCTCTGTCTGTGCAGTCAGTTTATGAGGAAGACAGTATTTGTTCTTTGCGGTTACTGTCAATTTGCGGCGAAAGCACCGCCACCATTATTCAGTCTCTAGTAGGAACCAAAAATGGAGCGTACTGTTTCACAGAGGCGGAGATAAAGCACGTACTACGCTGCTCAATCAGAGAACTTGTGGAGAGTAGAATTCCCACTCTGTAACATCTTCCAGGTTTCTCAAACGCTAGAGGGCGCTCCCGAGCGAGTCCACAATGAATGGGTTAAGATGGAGCATTTGAGCAAAATCATAGTTTATAAATGCTCAAACATTTTTAATGTAAAAGAATTCAATCATTTCCTGAACACAGAGCAGCATAAAACATCTTAACAGTGCTGTTATATTTTTAAGAGCTTTTAAACTCGAGTTATAGGAGTTTAAAATGGTCCCTTATATACGCTCATGACGTCTATGAACGCAAACAGCCAATAAGCTGCTCCGCTGGCCAACCAATCAGCACTCGGTAGCAGCAATGCCAACCAATCAGCACTAAGTAGGAGTAACGTTAGCGTCTTGCTGCCCAAAACCCGTTTGCTGTAGAAAAAGGAAACATACAGTTTTCTTTGCTTTTTTTAATGAAATACATCCTTATACTTTCTAAAATTAAAATAAAAAAATATTTTAACTTCTTGGTTTTAGCCATTGAGCTCCATTTACTCCCATTCATTGAGGACTCACTCGTGGGCGCCCTCTGCTGTTTGCAGTCCTGTTTTTTTGATATAACAAGGGAAATAGGAAGTGGCCAGACTCCTCATGAACCAGCTCTGGCTCAGTGCTCAATTACTGTTGGTAATCGGCACGTCGTTTCGCTCCTTACTTGCATAAAGTTAAACTCCACTCACCTTTGTCGCGTCACCGACTCCGCCCACTTCGCGTTGCCAACATTCGCACCGTCTCCTGTTGCCAGAAATCGCCAGCTCTCATTGAAAATGAATGAGCTCTGGCCGCCCTGTCACATCACGTCACTGCTGGTGTGAATGCAGGGTCACAGTTACGCTACAGTGATGGTCATAATGTGCTGAAATGAAAGTTAACTTACTGTAACGGTGAATGTTTATACTGCACGCAGTGTAAAGGTCTGAATGGCTCCGTCCTCTTTGAATGTCCTCCGGAAGCGTCTCCGCTGTGTTGTGACTGGTTTATCAGTGTTTCTGAAGTTGCATGTGTTTCTGTATCTGCAGCACGTTTGTGAAATGCCGCGCTGTCTCGTCATTTTGATGAGTGTTTTCTGCGTCTGCAGCTCGTTTTTCTTTGCAGTTTGTTGGATCTTCCAGCCCACCGTACATAATAAACCATAACAGCTGCAAATGTTTTAAAATCAGTCCAACCCCAGTGGAAAAGGTAGTAACGGTCATAAGAAACTCACTCTGAGTTAAAAACGAAACCATTTCTCATGTTCTCACCATGTCATGTGAAACCCCATGATGGATGTGTTTTTGTTTGGATCCTGTGAGCATCTCTGCTGCTTTGCTTGTGTGTGGAGACAGAGCTCACTCATTACGGCCACATTAAACCGCATGAAGCCCCAGTGGCTCCTGTTTTAGTTGTGTTTTTTTCTGTTTTGGTTTCTTGGTTGTCAAATTTTCCACTATTTTCAGTATTTTTTGTGCTTTTCCTTTAGTTTTAAGTGACAAACACTGGGAATTTGGGACCAATTTGAATATAAAGTGCCAACAGATTCATGTTACGTTGAAGTATTTAACACAAATACTGACCGTAATATAATATTTATGCAGTCACTGAATTTTTATTGTAGAAAATTGCATTTTTTCTTAAAGATTGTTAGAAATACATGTAATGAAAAGTTGATTCACAGATAGAAAAAAAATAACAGAATAAGCAGCCTAAAATGAGTTTAAATGAACTGAGTAAAACATTATATGTACTTTTTTCTGTTCTGCATGTTTCCTGACTCATCTTTTCTCCCTCTCTATCCGTCTATCTGTCGACCTATCTGTCTGTCTCTCTGTCTCTCTCAGGTTGCGGCTCTACAGGAGGAGAAGGGCAGCCTGTTGGCTGAGAATCAGATCTTGATGGAGCGGCTCAATCAGTCCGACTCCATCGAGGACCTGAACAGTCCTGCAGGGCGGCGACACCTTCAGCTACAGACACAGCTGGAGCAGCTTCAGGAGGAGACCTTCAGGTGAGGGAGGGCAGTAATGGTTTTAAAAAAATGGTCTTGTCCCAAATCAAAGTTGTGAAAGCTCTGTTCAGACTGGAGTGGTCTGTAATAAAGTTCTCCTCGTGTCTCTTCAGCAATAAAACTCAAACATTCGAACATCCAAAATGTTTGAGGTGTAAAAGCCGCATGAATTCTGATCTGGCTGTTCACACTGAATCGCATTGCTGCAGATCGGATATGGATGTGAAAATGGGCAGTGGGGGGGGGTGGGCAGTGGGTGGGGTTTTGGAAGGAGTGGATCAGCCAATTTGCTCATCTGGGCCATGAAAGCTACTTTCACATTACAGGCCTCATTGCTCAAATCCGATTTTTTGCTCAAATCTGATCTCTCTGATACGATGGTTCCCACTCGTTTAGGTAAGTGACTCAAATCTGTCATTAATGTGACGAACCGGCGTCCTGAAATGACCCTCATGAGCTCATCCTACTCAGTAACGTCACGTGAATGAATCACGTTCATCATCAGCACAAACTAACGAGCAGAACGAGCTTCGCTGAGAAGATAATTAACTCTGATCAGCTCTCAGCTTCATTATTAGAGCGAGACGAAGGAGAAAAAGGTGAGATGAGCTGCTTTTCCACCGTTTACAGGCTTTAACTTCTGTTCGGCGCTGCTGCCATGGCAACGCTGAATGATGGCGCAGTGGAAAAAAAGCACATGAATTCTGATCTGAGTGTCACATTAAGTACACATGACCACGAATCGGATACATATCCGATCTAGGACCACATATGAAAGTGACTCAGGTCAGATTTGAAAAGATCTGTGTGTCACACAGCTCTGAAAACATCAGATCTGAGTCACATTAGGGCAAAAAATCGGATTTGTGCCACGTTAACCTGGTAATGTGAACGTAGCCTTAGTAGTCTTGTGCTCTACTGAAGGACTAATAAGCTTTGGTTATTTTAATATAAAAGCTCTGGACCTTTAATGGATCTTCTGTTTCGGTTTATTTAGTCAAGACCAGACTGACCTCGCATAGTGCAGTTAAATGTTCCTTTTGAGTGCCGTGGCTCAAAACACTCCGATAATTTTATACGCTTTATAAAACGTAAGGCCAGTGGCCGAGTGTGTCCAGTTGAAGTAGAAAGCCTGGCTGTAATTCAAAGTGGGAGATCAAGGGTGGTGAGTTTATTGATTCTTCTCTCAGGGCTTGTAAGTTCAGCTGGTCGTCGTGGACAGATTAAAAGCCTATAAACACTGAGTTAATGGGCTGTTTCATTGTAAATGGGGGAGAACTTGGTGCTAAGTACAATGTTCTGCCCTTTGTGCAAACACATGGACAGTGACTGTAGCCAATATCACTGCTCATGCTAATACTTTCCCTGCTTAGGCTTGGCTGGCCAGCAATGCATGCTAAAACTAACATTACTACTACCATCTTATATTAGCTGTCACCACTGCCGTGTCTAAACCTCCAAGGTCTAGCTGCCCTGTACATTGTGTGCGTATTTTAGGACCAACAGACCAGCAGAAATGGCTCAAAGTTACTTGAAAGTGATTAAAATTACAGAATTAATCTTGTGTTAACGCACTTTGCTGTTGAGACATTTTTTCCTTCTCATCTAAAAATATCATCTCAGAGATACAAGGTTTCGTTGCTGATGCTAAATGCTACCACAAGCTCTTTAGTGAGTGACCACATAGCTTGTGACAAGGACCGTTCTGCATTCAAATGCTAGTGCTAATGGGTCGTTCTACAGAAACGCCCACTTTTTTTTTTTTATCTATCCGTAGGAGTCACTGGTGTTACTGGTCCTCATTGGTGTTACACATAAGAAAGGAAACACCGGAGACATTTTTAATGAACAATGCATTTTACAAATTATCTGCTACAGAGCATCAAACCACATGTTGTCAATCATGGAATATCCACTAAAATATGGAATTTACTCCATTTGTATTCTATTTTTCCATTATTACCTCAGAATAAAGTCGGTCACACCAGTGACTTCAGCTAAAAGCTTCATATGAAATCATGAGCTAAATGAGAAAATCTCTGATAACTGAAAGACACGGTGGACTCACCATGTGCTTTTCTTCATAGATCCTCAGAAAACAGGTAAAAGGAAGTCAAGTGATGTCATCAGTGTGACTTTTATTTCAAAATAAGAGACTTTTTGTTACACAGTAACACCAGTGACATGACTCCTGGGGAACTTTCATTATATATCTTATAATATTTATTTGTTTTCTTTGTCATTTAATTAATATATTTCATAGTCATGTATAGATTATTGCAGTTAAAACTGCAGAAAAACATGTTTTTTACCTCAAAATACGGCCTCAGCCTTCACACATGACTGTGAGGACGAGCTCTTCTGTGGTGTTTGGAATTCAATATGATTGATTTATAAACCAATATTGCTAAATTGATGCCCAGGAAGGTGTAATTGTTAAAATAACTTAGTTTCATTTATAAATATAAATAAATTGTAACCCTAACATGTTTTTAAGTGTAATATGTCTGTAAACGCTTGGGACACAAAAATGGACGTTTCCGTAGAACGACTCTACTACTAATGCCACTCTAGTGTACTTAACACTAAGTGCTACCTAGTTAATTATTCAGTGGCCAGGCTAAGTGATACAAGCCTTTCTATGGTATTTTGATGCTCACACTGTTAGTAGTGCCTATGCTAACCATACTGCTGATGATAAAATGATAAAGCCCTTAAGCTTTTCACACAATGCTAATGCTAGCGCTGGCTTCTTGTGGCAGGATGAGCGAGTCGGTGCTCTCTCATGTAAGCTGGGAGTGTCAACCCCTGCCCTTTCCTCTGGCTCCTCAGAGCATCAGCCCCATACTGGCCCTGCCCCAGTGGAGGTAACAGCACCTAGCATGGGCATGGAGGGCACCTCTTGGGCATAGGCACCCTCTCACTGGGGCACCTTATGGGCTTGAGGGGATGTAGGATCTGGCACCTCTTTCGCTTTGCTAATTGAGCACTTCGTTCACTGCTGGTTCCCATTTTCGCCTGCTTTACTATGTTTATGTCCACTTGGGTGTTTTCATGTTTCGCCTTTTCACACGTGCGTTTTAAGAGCTTCCCGTTATGCCGAAGGCCGGCTTATCCTTGTTTTTGAGCCGATTTGGCTGAAATCTCTGTGCATTCCAGGTTGGAGGCGGCCAAAGATGACTACCGGATCCGCTGCGAAGAGCTGGAGAAGGAGCTTCTGGAGGTCAAGGGTCAGAACGAGGAATTGACCTCTCTGGCCGATGAGGCTCAGTCCCTAAAAGATGAAATGGACGTGCTGAGGTGAGACAGAAGCCGCGCCTCAGTGAGGCAGTGAACACGATGACTCTGTACATGCCATGTTTTATGAAGTAAATGAGGTTGTGTTGACATGAAAGGCCTGTTTATATTGACGTTTTCTGTTTATAACACTGTTATTAAGCATCCTTCACAAGTAATGGAACTTACAGGGCAGAGGCCCAGTTAATAACAGCATATATTAGTACTGTATGTTTCTACTTAAAGTACAAAAGTACAGTTTCTAGGAAAGCCGGCTTTTACCCCGATTTTAACCCCCATTCTCAGTCTGAGCTGGTCGGCTCTAGCTTTTTGGGTCAGTCGGAGTCGACAGTTGGAGAGAGAGTTGAGTCGTGTCTGAGGGCCGCAGACTCAGATTTTTGGCCTCCTGATCGCGTTTCAGACCAGTCGGAGTTTATCAAATGTTTGATTTTTTTTGACCCGACTCTGAGCGTAATCTAGTGCAAACTGGTCAGTGACTCAATCTGAACAGACTCCTGCAACAGCCAATGAAAACAGAGAGCATAAAAGAAGAAAATACAGCAAGTAAACAAAGAAAAATGGTGAACAGGCTCTCAAATGTAGAGCAAAGCTTTTTAATGAGCTGAATTTAAGGCAAAATCGAGTTTATGTACATTAAAAACTCTCACAATACCAACTAATCATATTTTTGAATTCCACTTAAACACGTTTATCTCCTGCTTCTTTACTATTTCAGTGCAAATGACAGAGAAAACAGCAGCAGCAGCTCCACGTTTGTTTATTTGCGTCTCCTAGTAACGGGAGAACACGAGTTCAGTGAGCCCCACAGCTTAAAAGTTGAGTAGTGTGATCGTTTAGTTGGTGATCCCCAATATTATAGTCACCCAATAAAATCTGCAAAAAACAGTCAGGTAGTGTGATGCCCAGTCTTTGTAATCTGTTAAGGAGAGTTGTGCGGCAGCAGTAATGAACAGCTAAGTCTGTTTTTCAGGTCTATTTTAATAGAAATTGTTCATTAAAATAAAATCACTTTAGATGCTTATGTACATTAAGCATCACCATACCTTTAAAAGTCATTTTGTACATGTATATTCATGCATGTTCCATAGAACTGGTTCAGATATTCCCAGAACTGTTATCTGGTGTTCTTTACTGGGCCTTATAAGTTTTATTTCTTGGGAATGATGTGTCATAACAGACCAAATGAATGTCGCATTAGTTTAAGGCCTCCTACGCCAATGCAGTATTATTCACTTCACAGAACACATCATCTTGTAATCTGTTCATAAACGCTCAAGTATGGCCTTATGAACTGTTATTTAGTGTTTATGCATGTGTTATGAAGTCCATATGTAGGTGGCTTTCAAACAACCTAAAAATTGTATCCTTTTTTTTTTTTTGTGTCGTCTGGTTCGCTTCTCTCTCTCTCAGACACTCGTCTGATAAAGTGTCGAAGCTGGAGGCTCAGGTGGAGTCGTATAAGAAGAAGCTTGAGGATCTGGGTGATTTGCGGCGGCAGGTGAAACTGCTGGAGGAGAAGAACACCAGCTACATGCAGAACACGGTCAGCCTGGAGGAGGAACTGCGCAAGGCCAACGCAGCCCGCGCTCAGCTGGAGACCTACAAGAGACAGGTGCGTAAAACTGGGCGATACGGCAAAGAAATAAAACATCACGATACTTGTATTTCACAATACACAGTATCTGTCATGATATTTAAACAAGCTGAACAGACAAAATGCACCAGCAAAACAGCAGGCAGATAGTGTTGCACTGATATCGTACTGGTATCAGTCCTGATACCGACACTTTGATACAGTTTCGGTTTTGACTAGGGACGCGAATATTATCAAATGTTTTTGACCGATAACTGACCAATATTAGTCAGCAACCATTAATCCACAAACATTAAACTGCAGAAACGACCCATGAAAACATCAAATACAGCACAGCCTTTTTGTAAGAACAAGGCTTTAGGGTTTATTGAATGAAAGAATGCAGCCTAACGTAGCGCTGAAAGATTAATCGATTTAATATCGGAATCACAATTTAAAACAGTGTAATTTTCAAGTCGCTGCAAGAGCTGCAATATTAACCTCTTATTCTCCAGGGTGTATTTTTGTATTTTTATAAAAATAATGTTTACAGAGCAGATCACTGAAGAGACGCCATCTGTTTATAGTTTATAGCCCAGATTTGGGGAAAAATGGGTCGACTTTCAGTAGAAAAAAAAATTGAGTTCAGCTTCTTTTATTATAAGGGTTTAAAATTACATCACCCATCTATTTGACTGGAAAGAAGACAGTTACAGCTCTCATACGACCCCCACCTTTAGAATGAAGCTTATGAAATATGAAAGTTATGAAGAATATGACGAAGTGCGATTTGGAACCACCGGTGGTCCCAAGGAGTTGAAGAGGTTAATTATAGCCATTTTTTATTAACACTGTCTTAAGTGAGGAACATTAGCCTAATTTTAGAGCTTGCAAACTGCCTGTAGATGAGTTGGACCAATCAGAAGCAACCAAACAACTGTATGCTGTGACATTACAACCACAACTAACTGGCAGTCTGGCATGTTCAGTGTTCAAGTCTCAAGCCAGAAAAAGTGGATGTTCTGGTCTTCTTGGCCAGAATAACAGGCCTGGACTTCAGTACTAGTTGCAAAAATAATCGCAATTTAATTCACAGTCGCAGTGTCGATCAGAAAAATCGCAGTTAGATGTTTTTCCCCAAATCGTTCAGCCCTAGTCTAGCGCAATACTTACTTACTTACATTTATCATGTCACTGCTGTCGGAACAAAACCTTGTATCTCCATTTTTCAATCCGTCAATCTAACAGTTAATGTTTTTGTGTTTTTAGGTGGTCGAGCTCCAGAACAGGCTCTCCGAGGAATCCAAAAAGGCAGATAAGATGGAGTTTGAGTGCAAGCGTCTGAAAGAGAAAGTGGACTCGCTTCAGAAGGAGAAAGACGTAAGGACAAACCTCATCAGTCTGATGACCTCAGACATCTTCTAGAGACATATAAACCTCATACATCCATATCGCTGCTGTCAGAACAAAACTTCATGTCCCCAAAACGGTAACTTTACAGGAAAAGTAAAAAACATACTTTGCTTTTAATGTAAATCAATGGAACCAGACTTTTTTCCGTTTCTTTTGGTCGGTTCATCATGAACTTCACCCATAATGTAAAGGACCACAAGCATTTTCAAATTATTTCAAAAAATGGAGAGCGACAAAAATGGAGATTCAGAAGGAACAAGGTGAATAAATCTGGCTATTATTGAAAATAAACCAACCCGTTCATGTCCAGTAATCTAGTAATTTAGTAATGCCAAATTTTACAGTTATACATCAGTGTTACAGATGTTAGTTATACTTCAAATTAAGCTCTAGTGGTACCAGTTTAAATTTTTTATTAATATTATATTAGTACTTTTATTCACCATAAAAACAGGATTTTTCTTTTTTTTTCCTTTTTTTCCATTATTATTTGCACACCCTGATGATGATGGTGAAGTTTCTGTAGGTTCATGTATCAAAATATTCATGATGCATTCGTACATAACCCTTCTCCAAAGTTTTACCTTAGAAAAACGTTTTGCCTTAGAAATAAACAGGCTGTTTTTTGTTACCGTACCTTTAAGACTGATTTATGCAAATGGCCTGTTTTCTGATTGGCTTCCCTGTGTTGTGGCACATTCAAACAGTCAGAACTGAAAAGCTATAATTTCAGTGTGAATTGTTGGGCCTGAACTGCAAAAAGCTGAATAGGCACACGGATGTGAATGCATTGTTTTTTGTGACATCACAAAAAGTGAATTCAGAAGAGGCGCTTCCGCATCTTCAGTATATGGACTGTATGGACTGGACTTTAACACTGGGCGCGTTTACATGCACTCAATAATCCGATCATAATCAGATTTCTGCAGTGGTCTGATTATTCAAATGGTCATGTAAACACCATACTCCGATCTAGAAATCTGATTAAGAAATCTGATAAAGAGAGCTGGATTTCAGCTTAGTAATCAGATTTCTCAGTGCATGTGAACTCTTACTCTGATTTCTTTCATATATCTCAGTCTGCACATGCGAGACAACAGACGGCGGTACCGGAAATAAGCAAGCAGCGTTGCAGCGAGACGCAGCAGAACACTTTTGCCGCTGAAACCAAATACAAAATAAAAGATTTAAATATTCTTCATCTTCTAGATGATGCATGTTCATAATTTTAGTTTTTGATAAAAAGCCGCGGCATAAAGTTTGAGTTTACATTGCGTTTACGTCACGTCTTCTTCTGTGAGTCAGTTGGCTGGTTGTAAAGGAGAAATCTGATTAGTGGCTGACTCATAGACCCGGAGTTTGTAAACATGTTGATCGGATTACCCACAAAATCTGATTTTCTGCAGTTATCAGATTATGAAGTGCATGTAAACACACTCACCATTTAAAAAAAAAAAGTAAAGGAAAATTTGAAGTTCTCTAAAATTGGCCCTTTAAAATCTCAGACATCAGACTTTAATGGTTTAATAAATAGAAAAATTGATATAACTGGTTATAACTCCAATCAGCTGCTTATTACTATGCTGTTACTGTACACTAGCTGCCGTTGCAGGCTCTGTATTACTGTTCTAAATCTGAATGAAAGTGTTTTTAGGATATGAGCGGTTCAGTGTTGTAGAAATGCTGGTGATGTCTGTGATGTGTTCAGTAAAGCATTTGGTGACATAATGCGTCGCAGTAGTGATGACACAGATGCAGGCAGTTTGATGTTATCATTGACCACCAAATGATAAGTTCAGTGTTGGTTTAGTTCAGTCTGATTACAGGCTGCATAACCACAGAGAGAGAGAATATTATGGGCTATCTGAAAGCAACCAGGTGACAGATGCTTGATTGGACAGAAGGATGCTGCCTCACAGCAGTGCAGTAATGCTGGACATTGTCGACTTTTTTCCTCATTTGTTTCAAACTCTGAAAGATAATAAACCTGTTTACCTGTATGCAGTGGGTTTAGGGTCGGGAAGCAGCTGTACAGATGGCTGAAGTGATAAAATGCGAGCGGAGAACAAAGATGATTCTGTTGCGTTTGTCTCTGTCTCTTTTGCTTGGTCTCTTCCTGTGCCTTTATCACAGAGCCACATGTTTTCCTGTCCCTCCATCTGCTTCTGTTTCTCTCTCTTCCTCCCTTTCTTCACTCTTTGATCTTCCTTTTTGCTCTTTCTCTTTCAGTCATTCTCTTTCCATTCATTGTCTCTTAACAACATAAAGTTAAATAGTATGGGAGGCAAATCCAGCCAAAAAAGATATTAACATTAAGACAATAAAATGTAAATGCAAACCTCTTTTTGCCTTTTCTTTTTCCAAACATCTGCGCAAATATCCTGCCAAGATTAAAATTAAATGAAATACCTACGATTGCAATTTCATTTTCCACAAAAGCACGAGTCATTTGTGACAAAGATAAAAATAAAATTAAAACAGCTGTTTGTCATTTCATTTTAATCGTTATTCTGGTTTTTCATGGCCATATTTAAATTGGAAAAGCTAACAGAGAAAAGAAAATCCAAGCTTCACTTTGGCTTTGCCTTCTCTTCATGAAATGCAGAATACGTGTCAAAACTAAAATCTGAATGCAGTGTTTGCTTGCCAACAGACAGAAACAGCACAACGTTGAATCATTTTCCCTTCATCAGGAGTCGCAACCCAAATGTTGAGAGGAGCCGTTTAGTCCTTACAACAAAAATGAAACCATCCTGGGAGCCACAACATTTTATGTCCGTTTTACCATCGTGGCTGTAAATATGTGTCAGTACGTGCTGATGTGCCAGTATAGGCTACAAAGTATAGCTTAAATATAAACGAATACGCAGACTTGCTCTGCTTTAAGCTTTAGCTCAGCTATAGCCGCTTTTCTCGCATCTCCAGCAGGAAACATTCAACGATTTTTTACGAGGTTAAAGTCGCTTCTCATTCGCCAGCTTCTCATTCAAATTCTCCCATTCCACCTTAAATGGTGCCTGAGGCGCCAGAATGTACCTGTGGCACCATTTAAGGTGGAACAGGAAAATTTGAACAAGAAGCGACTTCAGCTTCGCGACTTTTTAGTGTTTCAGTTTCTCGTTGCAGATTAAACGTATCAGGAAACCAGCTGGAGTGATTATAAACACAGAAAAGTCCATTTGTCTCTAAATTATTATGTTCGTCTTAAATCTCTCTCTTTGCCGTTTCGTTAGCTACTAGCTAGGCGAGACTGTTGTCTGTGTTGCTATGGTGACCAGCAGTCTGCGCTGATCTTCAGGGTTAAAGGGTGAATCAGCAGTTCTACATTAACTCCAGAGTTTAAGACCATTTATTGTTAAACTGTGTTGAACGATCAGCAGAGCTTTATTTTACTGTAAAGGAGGATTATTTTATTTTTACCTACAAATCTGATTCAGCTGTGGAGCCACAACAGGGCAGTAAAAGAGCTACATGCGGCTCACACATCCTGCCCTGCACAGAAGAGAGAATAGGCTGTGTAGATGTGTTCATGGTTATGACATCATTTCAATATGCCCTGTTTTTGCAGCTTTGTTTCCATATAGTGGGAGTGTTAAATTATACTTACAATCAATTTAGCCCATAAAAAGCAGTGAAAATGTTGTTTTCCATGATGTGGGTCCTTTAAGGTGTGATAGGATGTGATGGAATAATGTATCTCTGTCTGTCTCTCTGTCTCGCGCTCACTCCCTCTCTCTCTCTCTTTCTGTGTAGCGTTTGAGGACTGAGAGGGACTCGCTAAAGGAGACAATAGAGGAACTGCGCTGTGTTCAGGCACAAGAGGGTCAGCTCACCTCAGGTAAACCATCAGACCCGTTAGAACGGTCAGACGTGTCCTCCCTATTAAATCTGCCGTTTTCACGCAGTCTTTAAGCATATTACAGTATATGTTAACCCCTTAAACAACTCCTTAAATGAACGGTGGGTGGGTCCACACGTCGGTTCCTCGCTCTCATAACCACATACTCGAGCTGTGATTTTAAATATATCCTAGATAATTTGTGTTGTTAATTAACTTTGTTAATTATGTTACGGTAAATTTTGCCACCTAAAACTTAATAGACCTGGCAATTTTCAGGGTCAAGGTCTTCTTGGCAAAAAAAAAAAACACAAAACAATTTAACAAGAACAGTTGCATTTAAATTGCAGTCAGGATATTGGTCAGAAAAATAAAAATTGGTTATATATCCCTAAAATGTTCGGCCTGACTACATACCGAATAGTATGTGCTTTGCATTCTTTGATATGTGTGTTCCTATGTCAGTAGGACTGGTTCCACTGGGCAGTAACGAAGGATCTGATTCGCTAGCTGCTGAAATAGTCACTCCAGAAATACGGTATGTCTCTGTCGCACCTCTTCCTGCACACACACACACACACACACACACACACACACACACACACACACACACACACATGTGCATATATATACATATATAAAGAGAGAGGGAGAGAGATATTTAATACTCAGTGTCCATTTTATCAGCTCCACTGACCACATAGTAGTAGTTCTACTGTTACAGACTGTAGTCCATCTGTTTCTCTGTGTACTTTGTCACCTTTCTTTTATTTTGTTCTTGTGTTTTGTAGGACTTGTTTTATTGATTGTTATTGCCCTATTTTATAGTGTATGGTAATGTATGTCTACTGGACCCCAGGAAGAATAGCAGCTATCGTGATAGCAGCTAATGGGGATCCTAAAAATAAACAAAATAAACAAAATGTACGTGGTGTGCAGATGCTGGTGGAGTTGAAATTCAAGTCTGAAGTCTTCATTTCCTGCCTTCAGTCAGCAAAAGCTTCAGCAACAGCAGAACTCAAACACGGCCTGCGGCGCACATGAGCTGCCTCTGTTTCTCTTTCTTTGTTCCTTTCTGTATTTATTTTCTCATAACAAGCCTGCAGGCCAGCATGGCTGTGCACACAGAGATAACTAGCGCACACTGTCAACAGCAGATCCGCTTTGTTTCTGTGTCTGTGATTGTTATCAGTGGAAAAGAACAGCTGGGAATCAGCCATTTTTGGAAAAAATACACCAATCAGGCATAACATTATGACCACCTCCTCGTTTCTATGCTCATTGTCCATTTTATCAGCTCCACTTACTCTATAGGTGCACTTTGTAGTTCTACAGTTACAGACTGTAGTCCATCTGTTTCTCTGATACTTTGTTAGCCCCCTTTTACCCTGTTCTTCAGTGGTCAGGACCCCCATGGACCCTCACAGAGCAGGTACTATTTGGGTGGTGGGTCATTCTCTGACGTGGTGGTGGTGTGTTAGTGTGTGTTGTGCTGGTACGAGTGGATCAGACACAGCAGTGCTGCTGGAGTTTTTAAACACTGTGTCCACTCACTGTCCACTCTATTAGACACTCCTACCTTGTCAGTCCACCTTGTAGATGTAAGGTCAGAGACGATAGCTCATCTGCTGCTGCACAGTTTGTGTTGGTCATCCTCTAGTCCTTCATCAGTGGTCACAGGACGCTGTTGGCTGGATATTTTTGGTTGGTGGACTATTCTCAGTCCAGCAGCGACACTGAGGTGTTTAAAAACTCCAGCAGCACTGCTGTGTCTGATCCACTCAGACCAACACAACACACACTAACACACCACCACAACGTCAGTGTCACTGCAGTGCTGAGAATGACCCACCACCCAAATAGTACCTGCTCTGCGAGGGTCCATGGGGGTCCTGACCACTGAAGAACAGGGTAACAAAGTATCAGAGAAACAGATGGACTACAGTCTGTAACTGTAGAACTACAAAGTGCACCTATACAGTAAGTGGAGCTGATAAAATGGACAATGAGCGCAGAAACAAGGAGGTGGTCAGAATGTTATGCCTGATCGGTGTCAGTTGTTCTTACTATGTAGTTCATGTGTTGTCTGCCAGTACTGATCGTTGTTCATGCCTTCAGATGTACCATGTTTTTGTTGGTGTTGTGTGCAGGGAGAGGCTGATCCGTCTGCAGCATGAGAATAAAATGCTGAAGCTGAATCAGGAGGGCTCTGATAATGAGCAGATCGCTCTGCTGAAGAGCCTCCTGGAGGATGCAAACGCCAGGAAGAACGAGCTGGAGACAGAGAACAGGTAACACACGTGCAGTTGTTACTCACACATATGTATATAGTGTACATGCTGCCCCCTGTTGGATGTTATATTGGTTAAATGCACAAAGGTGAATAGGAAGTTAAGATTTGTGATCCTTCACACCCTCAGCTTGGGGGAAAAATGGCAGATTTTGATCTTTTGGATTCTCACCGTAAACGTTTAAAACAGATAATAAATAAAATCGAAAGTAAACCTGAGTGATTTCTACAGCACAGGTGAAACTGAAGAAGGTACTTTGGGGGTCTAGTTATTAAACAGCAGCTGGAGTCAACAAGAGAGATTCAACTTAGGATTTAATGAAGGATTTGATACTGGATTTAACGTTAACTGTCAAACTGTGACATCATGAGTTTCCAGCTGGCCTCGTATCCCAGAAAGAGCGCTCCGTTAGCTGGGAACATTCGGATCATGGTTGGAGTGAGTCCAGAATTCAGAGCTCTGAAGCCTACAGAGAAAAAAAACAACAAAATTATGTTTAGATCATTATAGAACAGGATAAAGCAGTGATGCTTCCCCTCACCAAAAACATGATTGGCTTAACTGACTGACGTAGTGATTCTAGCAGAGTTGTTAAAAACTAAGGAAAATTTAATATATCCCACCCCAGGGGGCTCAACTCCGATCCTGGAGGACCAGCGTCCAGCACAGTTTGGAGGTTTCACTACTTAAACACACCCACTAAGCCTGACAATGAGTGCATTTACGTGCACTTAATAATCTGATAACTGCAGAAAATCCGATTTTGTCAATAATCCGATGAATATGTTTATATGCATTTGAGTAATCAGATAATGGGGGAACTTCAGGTCTACATGAGTCAGACAATAATCAGATTTCTACTTTGCAACCAGCCAATAAACTCACAGAAGAAGACGTGACGTAAACGTAATGTAAACTCAAACTTCATACCGTGGCTTTAAAAAAAAATTTCACCACTTCACGTAAAAATATGAACATCCATCATGTAGAAAATAAAGAATATTTAAATCCTTCATTTCGTGTTTGGTTTCAGCGCCGCTCCAAAAGTGTTTTGCTGCGTCTCGCGGCGACGCTGCTCGCTTATTTCCGGTACCGCCGTCTGTTTTCGCACATGCTCAGACTATGAAATCCGAAAGAAATCAGAGTAAGAGTTCACATGCACTGAGAAATCTGATTACTGAGCTAAAATCCAGCTCTCTTTATTTGATTTCTAGATTGGGCTATGATGTTTACATGACCATTCGAATAATCAGATAACAGCAGAAATCCGATTATGACTGGATTATAGGGTGCATGTAAACACACTCATTTAAAAGATAGGTGTAATCAGTTGTGTTTCAGTAAGTAACTCACCAAAATATGCAGGACACTGGCCCTCCAGGACTGGAGTTGTCTAGCCCTGTCCTGGCCTACAGTACAGTAACAGTAGGCGAACCTAACATAGTAAGCTTTAGCCTTTTTTACAAGCGATTTATAGGCTGTAATAGTCGGCCAAAATATGTTAGTTATTCAGTTAAAATAATAAGTTATTTGTTGCATGTTCGACACAAAGAAATAGAGTTGTAACTGAAGAATGGCAGAAAATTCCACTTTCAACACTGGATAAGTTTGGAACTGTCTGGTACGTTGCTGGCGTCAAATTTGACATGAGCATGTATTTACAAAAAACTAATTAAGTTTATAAAGTAAATTAAGTTCATAAAACTCAGACGCAAAATTCTCAGCTGTATTCCCAGTTCAGGACACGCTTACATCGCTACGTCATTGGGTGAATTTATCAAACTTGCCGTTTTCCAGCTAACACATGATTATTTCTTGCTTTCTTACTCTCAGGCTGGTGAACCAGAGGCTGTTGGCAGGTCAGAGTCAGGTGGAGGAGCTACAGAAGAGTCTTCAGGAGCAGGACTCTAAAGCTGATGATGTGAGTAACGCTCTCGGACCACACTTCACTCTCGGCCTTACTGCAGTGGTGGGACTCCTACCCTGCGTTCACACCAGCAGCGACTTTTCGCCTCTTGTCGCCCAAATCGCTGATCGCTCATCACCTGTGGGCATTTCTGAACTCCAGCTGCTGTGGTTACACTGACGCCAAGCACAAATCAGATGCGTTTCCGCTAAAAATTAAAATCCTGGTGAGGAATCGCTTGTGTGCTTATTTTTATTTAATCCCATCTCTGTGCAGTCAGTTTGTGAGGAGAGCAGTATTTGGAGTATTTGGCGATTATCGTCTATTAGCGGTGAAAGCACTGCTGCCATTATTACTCCTGTGGTAGGAACAATTATCTAGGAACCAAAAACGGATCGTACTGTTTCACAGTGGTGGAGATAAAGCGTGTACTACGCTGCTCAGTGCTCAATTCCTACTGTAATCGCCACATCGCTTCGCTCCGTAAAGTTTGCGTTCGAGTTAAACTCGGCTCAGTTTTGTTGTGTCGCCGACTTCACGTCACCAGTGTTCACCCCACCTCCTGTCGCTGGAAATTGCCAGCTGTCATTGAAAATGAATGACCTCCGGCTACTTCGTCGCGTCGCGTTGCTGCCGGTGTGAATGCAGGATTACAAGATCTCCAGAATGCAGTAACCCTGACGTGGTCTCATAACTCAGTGACTACCTACTTACCCTTGTGGTGCATGTCTACTCTGCATTTTGCTGAACCTCCATGCTCACCACTGGTGAGGGTTCTATGTCTTTTCTGTAAAGAAAATGAAGGAAAAGAATAGGAACCATATCTGGGGCTGTAAATATCCAGTTTGGTCTTTCTTATTTTTTGTTTAATGTTATAAGCTTAAGATAGAATAAAATGTAGTCGTATTCTTATGCTTTTCATGCTCTCCTAATTTTTAGAATATGCCTCATAAGTCAGCTAGTTAGTGCGCTCGATCTCATCGGCAAGCAAGCCACCTCAACGAGTAACCTTAGAGCTCCGTATGATGTTAAATTTTGCTTTCCCACTCAAAGCATGTAAACTATATCCAATCGACCATCTTTTACGTTCTCCGTCCGTGATGAAGACCGGTGTACTCTTGTCCGATTGGCTAAACAAAATGCGACGGCCAGACACATTTGCGTAAAGCCGAAATCCGTCCTGCGGAGCTCTGCGTTGAAATGAATAGGATGTGGCGCAAGAAAATGTGAAGTGGACATGATCAGTGATCATTAGAGATCCCAGTTAGCATTTGGTTCTGTTTGTTTTGTGGCTTTTCTTTATCCGAACTGTCACTAGGAAATTATTTAGACAGCAGTTCATTTTTGTTTAGGTCAAAAAACTGTATTAACCATATTAACCCCACTTGCTTTTGTCACTAACTCACAATTGTCCTTCTTTTGTGTGTGCATGTGTTTCTGTATGTGCATATGCCTGTATATACAGCATATATGTATGCAAAAGTTTAGACGCCCCTGCTCAAATTACACATTTTTTGTTTGTCAAAAAAAGTTGAGTGAAAATAAGTTGATACGCCTTCTACAGAGAACACACCACTCCTACGCATCTTAATGCACCAGTACTGCTTATTCACAGGAGTGAAACGAGTCGCCAAATATACTTTAGCGATGTCTGAAACGTGGTTATATATTCCTTGTTTGAGTGGATCGGCGATCTGTTCTGCTGTGACCAAGTGTGAGTGTCTAGATCAGCGGCGTAACTGTACTGTCCTACAGTGAACTCACCTCTTTCCTAACATCCTAACAAGCTTTAGCGGTGTTAAGTCACATCTGCTGCTCACAACTACAGCACTGTTACAGAGCTCAGTCATATTTTAGTATTAATACATTCCCAAGCAACAAAAGTGAAAGAGCACTGAGGATGCTGTATGTGAGGCTTTGGACAGTGAGAGAACACTATCTTTCCAGGCTAGCTGTTTTTAGCAGCCGGCTCACTTGAAGCAGCGCTCTGTCACTCGCACAACACGGTGAATTGATGTTACTGTAGATCAAACAAGACAAAAAAGCTCTGATTTCAGTTTAAACGTGAAAGTTTGTTTCACCCCTCAAACTACTATGATAGAATAGAGAAGTCCAGTCTGCTGGCTGGTGTCTGAATACTGTGATATGCTCTGACATGGATGTGGTGGGAGTGACGGCAGTAAGGCGGTGTGGTCCGTCACTGACCTACCGAGCCAGCTAATGTTTGCTGTTCGTATTAAGCTGACGCTGTTGAGAAACTAAAGAGTTTAGCACTTGTAACCAGATAGCCGAGCGCTCGTCACCAGACAGCTAAAATAATCTGTTTTCTTTTTTAAATTATGAATATTTCCAAAATTGCAGTCATTCTTTTCCAGCTGAGCAAAAGCAGCCAGCCAGAAACTTCCTCCCTCTGTCCAATGACAGATCTGTGAAATGTTCCACTGTTTGTGTTTGTCATGTTCTGACCATGAAGGATAGTTTAAAACAGTAATTAACCACTCAGGAACAAAAGTCAGCCTTCAAACTTGCAGGAAATCATGATTTGACATTTATCAACTGATATGAAATTCTTTATCGTGATGACATTTGTGGCCATATCGCCCAGCCGTGAACAGGGATGTTCAAACTTCTGCGTACATATATATGTCTTGTATTGCTGCAAATACTAACAGGCTTTTTTAGTGCCATCCTCTTCAGCTAATGATGTCACTCATGTTGTAGCATGACCCAGGCATGCCACTGGCTCCCCTGTCCGTTCGGCGCGGAGGTTAAAGGCCATGTGTGATGACATCACCAGGAACACTGTACATGTGTGTCCACATGCCAACATGTCTCTCCATGACTGTCTCTGTGTGCTTTAGCGTGTTTCTCGCTTGACTTCATCCATTCTACACTCTCTCTCTCTGTCTGTCTGTCTGTCTCTCTCTCTCTCTCTGTCTCTCTTTCTCTCTCTCTCGCTGTCGTTGTGGACAGGCCACTCTCAACTCAAGCCCTCTTTTCTGTCTCTCACAATCACCCCTTCCTCAGGCTATTGTAAGTACAGCATGTGGGAATCAGCCGCTCTGCTGCTCTCTACGTTTGCGTCCCAGTCATTATCTCTTATGGCAGGCAGCTAGCATGCTAATGCTAAAAACAGTGACCTGCATGCTTTGGTGCCTCTTTCAAGCCCTTTCAGGAATCACTGTCACTGCAGCATCCATGGCCTCCCCCTTAACCCGTATGTAGTCAATCAGCCAAAACATGATTGCTTCTTTAGTTTTGCACTATTAACGGTACACAAAATTCAGTACAATACAATCTCAGTATAACATTTTTCTTACTCAGCAAAAATAAAGAATGTCTGAATATGTGCCTCGTGCTCCTGTGTTTATATCGCTGCTGACGGAAGAAAACCTCATATCTCTGTCGTTTTTCAGTTTTTGTCATTATTTGAAAATGCCTGTTGCTCTTTACATTGTGTGTAAATTTCATGAAGAATGGACCAAAAGAAACGACCCAAAATGACTTGGAAACACGTCTGGTTCCATTGACTTGCATTCAAAGTAAAGCAGGTTTTCTCCTTCTCCTGTGAAGTTACCGTTTTGGAGATAAGAGGTTTTCTTCCAACAACAGCGATATGTTCGTGTTTGCACCAGGCACACAGCTGCCATGCGTACGTGCTGGAGAAGAAGAACAGCAAACGTTAGTTAGCTCTTGTTTGTTTCCACAACCGTAAGCAACAAATGATGTGTTGACAGAAAAGCAGTACTTTCATTTTGTGTTTGTGTGTTTTTTTTGTTTTGTTTTGTTTTTTATTTATTTTTTTTGGTCTTCAGAAAGACGAGACCACAGCCTGCTCTTATTTTCCTCTTGCTTTTTGCTGGCTCAGTCACAAATTTGCAAGGTAAAAGCCAATTTTTTGCGTTGCCGCACATTCCACATTCAAGTAAACTGGCTTTTTCACAAGGCACGTTCGGTCCGGCTGCGGCTTTAGGTAATTAGTTTATACCCTGCTAATTGGTGGTAAAGTATAAGCAAAGTTTGGAAAAAGGAAAGTCTGTCCACTTGACTGGCTTCTTGGCAGTGCCAAGTTAATTCCAGTCATACAAGCCCAGATTCCTGTGTGTTTGAACAGTGAGAGACCTACGAATCTGAAACCAAATGTCATCTTAATGATACATATTTGAAATCACTGAAAATCTGATAAAAATAGCATAAATAGTTTGTAGCGTTTGGCTCAAACAGCACACAAAAACACACTTTTTCGTTGTTCTGGCTTCCGCGCTTGATCAAATCTCCACAAAGAAGGAGGGCTTCTCCTACTTTCATATCCCTCCATAGGAGTCACTGGTGTTACTGGTCCTCATTGGTGTTACACATAATAAAGGGAACACCAGAGACATTTTTAATGAACAATGCATTTTACAAAATGGCTGCTACAGAGCATCAAACCACATGTTGTCAATCATGGAATATCCACTAAAATATGGAATTTAATCCATTTGTGTTCTATTTTTTCACAGTTACCTCAGAATAAAGTGGGTCACACCAGTGACTTCAGCTAAAAGCTTCATATGAAATCATGAGCTAAATGAGAAAATCTCTGATAACTGAAAGACACAGTGGACTCACCATGAGCTTTTCTTCATAGATCCTCAGAAAACAGGTAAAAGGAAGTCAAGTGATGTCATCAGTGTGACTTTTATTTCAAAATAAGAGATTTTTTTGTTACGCAGTAACACCAGTGACACGACTCCTGGGGAACTTTCATTATATATTTTATAATATTTATTTATTATGTCATTTACATCATATAGTTCATAGTCATGTATAGATTATTGCAGTTAAAATTGGAGAAAAACATTTTTTACCCCAAAATATGGCCTCAGCCTTCACACACGACTGAGGACGAGCTCTTCTGTGGTGCTTGGAATCCTATATGATTGATTTATAAACCAATATTGCTAATTTGAGGCTCAAGAAGGTGTAATTGTTAAAATAACTTATTGTTTTGTTTCAAATTATAAATAAATTGTAACCCTAACATGTTTTTCAAGTGTAATATATCTGTAAACGCTAGGGACGTTTCCATAGAATAGAATGAAGTGTAAGCTTCCATGTCTTGTTAGCTACAATGGTCTTGACTGATTGACTTCTTTTGTGATGTTAGAAAAATTGTGTATGTTTTCTTTCTTTTTTATTAAAGTTCATACAGTATGTTAACACTTCTTTACTAGTAGACCTGTAAGAGGTTGTGGTGCTTTGGCAGTTTCAGTTCCTGGGGCTTTGAGATCGTATGTACAGACTTGTGAGAGTTGGAGTTCTGTGATGGAATCTATTTCGCGAATTGATCTTTCTGGGTCTGCTCGTTAGCCAGCTGATGCCAACGAGCGCTGCATCATTAACCGAAAGGAGATGAGAGAGTGGCCGCTTTCTTCTTCTGCATGACCAATCCAGAGAAATCGAAACGTCATCAGCCGTGCTTCTGTTTGTTTATCCAAAACAAAATTAGAGCTTGGAACATGATCTGCTTTCCTCCCTCTGAGCTGTATTGATATTGTTTTTTGAATCTGTGTCTGAATCGATGTGCTGGATTGAACTGTCTTGCACCACTTGATGTCAGTGAAATCAAATCAGCATCTGCCATGCATTGAAATTTGTACAGTGGTTTCATGGATGTGAACGTGGTGCCCTCTGCTGGCCAGCAGGTGAACTGCAATCGATTAGGACAGCAGTATGTAATGATCTGAGGCCACTTAACCCCTTTTTACTTTAATTGACTTAGTTTGATTAGATTTTAAGGCACGAAGGAGACAAATATTAACAAATTACTTGTTGTCTAGAAGTGAAAACAGCTATGGTGCATAATATAAGTATCTATTTAAAAGCTCTTTGCACTACTTTATGCTGTTCTTATCACAGACATGTGAATGAGGTTCAGTTCCTGACTGTTACAGCAGAGGGCGCTGTGAAGATCACCTGTGTGTTTCTAAATTTCTACTCTTTCCTTTTTTTTTACAGTCAGTTCTGCTGAAGCGCAAATGCGAGGAACATTTGTGAGTGTTTTCTTCTTGTATTTCTTTTTCTTATATTAATCACTGACAGTGGTGGACAGTAACTAAGTAAATGTAATTCGTTTCTGTACTTAAGTAGTTTTTGTGTATCTGTACTGAAGTTTTTCCATTTTGGGTGACTTTTTACTTTCACTCCACTACATTTCAAAGTCAAATATCTCACTTTTGACTCCACTACATTATGAAAAATCTGTCGTTCCTTTTGGTTTATGTGTGTATAAAAACGTAACATCAAAACGAAAGAAGTGCAAAGCAACAACACCAATCAGGGCACAGCGGTCACTTTGTTCTGAGCTTGTTTTGACCTGTTGGTCATACCGACCCAGTGCAGCACACGGTTCAACATCAGTGCAGCAGTGTAAAATTTTGGGAGTGTCTATTCAACATAAATGATGAACTAACCTAACTTTGTGTAAATAGACCACAATATAGAAATATGTACTCATATGCAGTTGTGACTGACGAGTCTTTTTTCAGAATTTATACAAACATTTCATTTTATAGTAAATTAGTTTTGGCTAGTTTATGTTTATGAACAGAGACCTACAGATGCAGTTTAGTAAAGGAAACTCATTTGTGAATCTGAGTTTAAAGTTTTTATTAAACTTAAACTTGTAACTAAGTTCAAATAAATCTTAAACTGAAACTTTGCTTGTTTGTAAAGTGATTTCAGAGCCACTCAGTTCTACCTGATGGAAACTGTTTGCCTTCAGTGTTTTGTGCTTATGATCATTTTAATAGACATCAGCGTCACTAATTAATGACTCTATTAAAAGACTGGTTTACCAAGAGAGACACTGGAGTATTTTCACCTAAAATGAATTAATGAAGCGAGTCTTGTTACAAAAATGATAATAGGACATCAGAGCCATAATTAATCTATTAGTACTTTTACTTTTGATACTTAAGTACATTTGAAGGTAAATACTTTTGTACTTTTACTCAAGTGGAGGTCTAAAGGGAGGAGCTTCTACTTTTACTGCAGTAATATTTTACCTTGGGTGTCTCTACTTTAACTCAAGCACATGGTTTGTGTTCTTCGTCCACCGCTGATCACTGACATAATAAAGTTTTAAAAACCTTAATTTATATCTGCTTGTTCCATCAGGGAGAAATTGAGGGATGCGTCCAATGAACTGCAGAAAAAGAACAACATCATTGAAGACCTGGAGACCAAATATAGCTCAAGTGGTGAGTTGTTGACCCTTATTAAATGGTTTTCTGTAATAACATGATTTCCACCACAGTGCATCATGGAACTTCTTTTATAAACACCTTTATAAAGGAAACATGGTAGCACACAGAAGGCTCCTGTTCTGTATAGTGATCCATTCTACCTTGACCAATGTGGACATGCCCGCTCACCAGCTATCCTGGGGCAGATTCTGATGAGTTAAAGAGGGCAAAAACTTTGAATGGGCCACAATTCTTAATTATGATAGTAATAATGGGTTAAACTGCTATTGTGTTTGTTTTTTGTGCTTGACTGGAGACACTAGTTTGACTCCTGTTCTTCTTTCAGGTCAAAAGATTGAAGAACTGGAGGAGGCTTTGAAGAAGAAGGATGAAGACATGAAGCAGATGGAGGAGAGATATAAGAAATATCTGGAGAAAGCAAAGAGCGTAAGAAATGTCTCTGAATGTGTTCAGATAAAGCACCGGTCGAAACTGGCCACTCATAAGTATTGTGCGTTGTCTTTAGGTCATTCGGACCCTGGACCCCAAACAGAACCAAGGCTCCGCTCCTGAAGTTCAGGCCCTTAAGAACCAGCTACAGGAGAGAGAGAGGATGCTGCACTCGCTGGAGGTCAGCATTGCTACACATACAAAGACGCAATTGTTCTCAGTTAGGCCTCTTAATTAGTCTATAGTAAAAATATTGTATAAGCAAATCATTTGTTCAGAAACAAAAACATCTATAATGCTTTATGATGTTGTCAGTGTGAGGCAGCTGGCATGAGCGCTAAGAGAGAGAGAGAGCTGCAGTTAGTGTTGTAGTCAAGACCATTATAAGCGGGTCTAAGGCTGGGCCTACACTACATGATTTTAAGCCCAATTTTTCAGTCTGAAGCGATTTTTCCAGGCGCAAATTATATAAATATCAATATATGTTTGATATTTATGATTATACAACAGTTAGTTCCGGCCACGCAAGCTGAGAACGGTTCTAACTGTGCTGTTATTTCACCATATGCTGTATCACTCCCCTGAGACGCCGTTGCTAAGCAACGTCTTCGACAGCTGTAGGAGACGCTCAAGCCATTTGAACGTTTTTACTTCTTACTTTGCCACAAACAGAAAATGGACACTTTTAAGAACACATTTGACCGACAGCTGATTTGGTCAGACTCTGAAGATGAGACGACACTAAATTCCCAAACTGTCATCACCACTGAGCAGCTTTTCAGTCGGCAGCTGTGACAGAAGAACAGCTGAACAACCTGGAATCAGCCAGAAATGAACCCAACACCATTCACCAAACTAAATGGGCTGTAAGATGCTTTACAGACTGGCTGGGTATGAAGCTGAATGTAACTACTCCACCAAATGGTGCAGCAGTTACATTCTGGTGCTTCAGGCGTCAGAACTGCTGGACTATTTAAGGTAGAACGGGAAAGTTAGCCAGCTAGTTACTGAGACATTATCATGCTATTAGTGATTTTTTATGCTTGTTAGGAAGAAAACAACTCTAATACATTGAAACGACATTAAACTAAGACAATACAGTGGTTATCATAATTTTTTAACGGAGAAAATTCTCACATTTGTGGGTTTCTTTGGTCTCATGTTCAGCCATTTTTTCTGTTTTTCTCATAACTCTCTGTTTGGAGTCTCTGAAAAACCTCTGTTTGGAGGGTCATGTAGCCCCAACACTTCGCCCTTCCCCTCTATCTCAACAAGAAATGGGACACCCTACCCCTCGACGTGAACACGCAAAACAGAGCGCTGAGGGCTGAGTGGTAGGGGTGAGGGGTGAAATGGGATTGGGCCTTGGAGTCAGATGTATCCTTCCAGACCACCACGAAAATGGTGTAAAATGAATGCAACAGGCTCCAGTTTCTCTGAACGGTTCCCTCACGAGTTTGGCGCCGCTCTGGTGACATCATCACGCAGCCTCGTCAGGACTGCTCCATTTGTGTGACCAATAGGCTACTAAGGACGAGTCTTCATAGGACAGTCCTACCGAGGACCCGCACTGGCGAGAGAGAGAGAGCTGAGCAGTCACAGACAGAGCTGAGATCCAATTAGATAATTAATCCTGTAATAAACCATTTGTAAACGAGTTATCAGAATAATTGTGAGTGCAGCTCAGTTTAAGGACTTCTCACACACTCACACACTCCTAGAGAAGGTAAAGGTGATGTGTGTGTCTTTGTTTACAGAAAGAATACGACAAGGCGAAATCTCAGAGAGACCACGAGGAGAAACTGATCGTGTCCGCCTGGTACAACATGGTGAGTGACGTTAGATCATCTACGCTGGTCATCCACTCTCCCCTCCCACAGTCCAGAGACGATGTGATCATGTTGGCTGCAGATTTAACTATAACAGTTCTTGGTGTATTAAAAATATAATGAGTTATTTCTGAATGTTAATGTGTGATATTTCCAAACATCCTGCACTTTTTCTCTTCTGGTATATACTGTATTTACAGGTCTCTAGAGGGCGCTGTTGTGCTGTCCGTGATCTATCAGTAGCCACATAATATTCTCATGTGAATGTCCTGTCAGAGCACGGGGGTTGTGTTTATCTGAGATCAGCGTCCTGCAGTGATGTGATGATCTTTTATAAGAATATGAAAACTGATCCTAGATCAGCACTTTTAATCTGAGAGACAGTTGGTTTGTCTCTCTTTCTATTAAGGACCAGATCTGTCAAAATGAAAAATAAAAAAATAGAATAAATGACTTAGTAAGTTAATCAATAGATAAAAATAAGTATATATTGCTTATTTTGATTGTAATTAAACACCTTTTTCTGCATGTGTGTTTGTGTGTTATATATATATATATGCATAATATATATATGCATAATTATTTATTTATTTTTATTTTTTTGTATTAATGCCTATGTTCATTTTTATATTTTTCACTATCTATATTTTTAACAGTTCATTAATTATTTTTTTTCATTAATTAATTTATTTCTGTATTTCTGCATTCATATGATAATGAGGGGGCGTGTTTTTCACATTTAAACTGTTCTACTCCAAAAATGGCAACGTCACCGACAGACAGACCTGCCGATAAATGACTTTAGCTGGCTTCCACAAGCCGTATGTGAGAAAAGGCGCCCGAATGTCTGGATGATCTGAATTTTGCAGAAAAAGCTGATGAACTGCCTCCTCCAAAGCTCTGAACACTACAGAACACTAAATGCAGACATATTAATTTATGTCTTATCTATTATTATGTTCATTTCTATGTATATTTATTTATTTTCAGATTTGTCATCATTATTCTTTGCAATTCTAATTCATATATTCTTTTACTGAGTCATTTATTTTTAATTTTATTTATTTTTCATTTTGGCAAATCTGGTCTTCCATACTTTCACCCTGATCCTCTCACTTCCTTCCCTTTTTCTTTCTTTATTTCTTTCATTCTTTCTTTCTTTATTTCTTTTCTTGTTCTTTCTCTCACTCTTTTTCTCTTCTTCTTTTACTCTCTTCTCTCCATCTCTCATTTTTGTACTTTCTTGCTTTTTTCATACTTTCTTGCTTTTCTTTCTATTTCATTGTGTCATTCATTCTTTTTCTTTCTTTCTTCCATCTCTCTCACTCTGGTTGTTCTCTCTCTTTCTCTCTATTTTTCTCTCTTTTGTTTTTCCTAGCTTTGTGCTATTCATTCTTTATCTCTTTCTACTATCTCCCTCTGGCTTTCTGTCTCTCTCATTCTGTCTATTTCTTGTTTTCTCTCTCTCTCTCTCTCTCTCTCTCTCTCTCTCTCTCTCTCTCTCTCTTTTTCTGTCTCATCTCTTCCGTTATATGAGCCCTTTTAGGTATGGTAGTCTGTACTGTAGTAATGTAATATCTATCTCTCTCTCTGTCTCTCTCTCTCTGTCTCTCTCTCTCTCTCTCTCTCTCTCAGGGAATGGCTCTACAGAAGAAGGCGGCGGAGGACCGTTTGGCGAGTACAGGTTCCGGTCAGTCTTTTCTGGCCCGACAGCGACAGGCCACCAGCACGCGCCGCTCTTACCCTGGCCACGTCCAGCCGGCCACAGCCAGGTAGAGCAGCCGCCCCCCCCTCGCCACGGCTACCCTCACCATGGCAACACTGTAGCCAATCAGGACGTGTTTCTTCCCTTTAGCCCTACCTCCCAGCTCTCTTCCTCCCTCTCCTCGCCTTCCTCTCCCGCCTGAACGCTTTAAAGTTGCCCACGTCGTCACAGGGTATCCCGGCCCATCCTGTTTACAGTCTTTTTCAAGACTTTGTTGTTTTCATTTCCTGCTTCTGTGTTAAACTTTTCCTTTCCTCTCTGTTCCGCACAACCTGCGGGGTTTTAAGAAGAGATGCTGATGGAGTGATTTATACTTTACATTATACTTTACATTATACTTTACATTATACTTCAACACTATTTTCATGGAGAGAAGCAAAAACTTTCTCTCTTTTAGGCTGATCTTTTGTGCTTTCTGATGAGCCCTTCCTGATGCAGTATTCATCACGAGCACTCGTTTCGATGACGCATGATCGAGTCCGTTTCAGGAAGCTGTCTGAGGTGCTGCTGAGCTGATCCTGAACTCTTCCTCTGTTAGACAAGCTTGGAGCCTCTTTGAATTCTGCTTATATAGTAACAGTTTGGCCAGAAATCAATCGTTACACATTTTTCCCTCTTTACCAGAATCTAGCCAAAATACAGCGTGATTCAAACGGATTCATCCGAATTCAAAATGATTTAATTCACTTGTAAATCTATATAGAACAATGCACACACATGCACACACAGTTTCTAAGCCGCTTATCCTTCTGGGTCGCGGGAGAGCTGGAGCCTATCCCAGCGGTCATTGGGCGGAAGGCAGGAAACACCCCTGGACAGGTCAGAACAATGCAGTGAACTGTAAATGGTTTAAATGAGCATAAAATTTATTATGTAATTGTTCAAGGTCTCAGTATGAACCTCCTCCAGCTGTACAGACAACATCAACACCATAGTCAAATTCATCCCATACTGGATTGAGCATGTCGGGTGTCGCTGCACTCACGGCTCTTTCAGTGCGATTTCGGAGATCATCCAGTGTTGTGGAACCAACGATGAACGCTCTGAGCTGTTGGAGCTTCACTGCCCATGAAAATCACACTGCACAGTTATGACGGATTCACTCTTATTGAAGTGGAGAACGCAGAACGCTTTCTGCTCAGGGGTCTCATCTCCTCTCAGACTGAAGGGAGCCATCTTCCACTGACAGTCATAAACTCTCTGGCCCCCTCTTTCAATTGGATTATGATTGGTTCCTAGGCGCCTCACGGTTGTAAAAATATGGCGCTTTGAATTCGGATGAATCTTTTTGAATCACCCAGTATGTTTGGTGTGAGGTTTGCTTAAAAACAATAGCAAAGATCTTGTGTGGAAGACAAGTCCTCATTGCATCCTTCTGCCTAGTGTCAGCTCATTGGCTCATCTGAAGAAGTAGCGTCCATCACTCACTCAACACAAAAGCCTACAGATTTCCGTCAGCTGTATGTAAATAATAAAACATTTTAAAATTTGATCCTCCAATGTTATCATCTAAAAAACGAGGCCTATAAGCCTACAAGGATTAGCTACTTTAGCCTCGTAGCTCCAGTGCAAAACTAAAGAAGCAAACCTCACACGCCAAACATGCTTTTGCTGATCTTTATTTGGAGTAAGGTTACTAAATCAGACTTTTCACCAAACTATTCCCTTAAAATGCTTTTAACATGTCACTGTCAGTGTTCAGACTGGTTCAGAATACTTTCATTCCAGACAGAAGATGTTTTATTTCCTGTTGCCAATCAATATTATGGTATGAATAAGGATGCTTACAGTCGTGCGTCTCTCCTTAAAACCCCGTCGGCAGGCTCAGATGTAGTAAACGTCTCAGGTTAGCGGTGTCGCCCTGGGAACAGCTCTTTTTTTATGCATAAAATAATGTGCATTAGAATTTCACAAGCAAAACCTGCTCCCAGATCAGCATCCTTCACTCTGAGATGTTATTTGAAAAAGCCTGCGATTCTAGTCTGTTCAAAAATGTAATAAGCATTTTAATGTGCGTTTAATGAGCATTTATGGCTCTGTCAGTTTATCTGTATCTGCGTATTAATATTTTCCTTTATGTTGTTCTTCAGACCTTTAAGGAACTCATATCTATGCATTGAACTTCTGTAGAATGTGGTAAATGAAATAACACATGCTGCGTTATTCTTTTGGAGATGAACCGACAGCTGTAGTGGTGATGTTACTGATGTGTAATCGGTCCTGTGGAACGTTACGTTGTCGTCTGGTCAGTCTACCAGTGGCAGAGTAGTTCTGTTGCTGGTATTCAAGGACTTTATGGAGCCTCCTCATCCATCTTCAGCCTTCATAAACCCTGTTATAAAGTCTTGTTTGCCATGCCTTAACATGCCCTTATCAGCCTCGGCTGAAGCTACGCTTGAAGGCCTCAGATCCACTGACCTGGTCTACTTAATGCAGAGGGGCAGTGCAGGTTTGCATTGTTGCACATTTTTCAGTATTGTGGCCAGTAGAGGTGTAAATCTGTCCTCATGATTCGATTTGATTCCAGCTCTTGAGGAAACGATCCGATGCATCATAGTCTCAAATTTCACCGTGATGTAGTTAGGGCCCAACTCATCTGGAAAACATTGTTGGCAATACAGTATCAGTTTTAAGGGGCTTAAATTCTGGTAATGCATAATATCAGCTGATATTTTAGACTTTGACATTACACTCCAGTAGTTTTAGTTAAACACCGCTCTGCTGACTGATATCGTCAGTTCTCAAATGTCAAATAAACTCAAATATGCAACACAAACTTACAGTCTTGAGTTGCACTGGGGGGTGGAGGTACTCATAATTGTGGTTTTGGTTTCTGTTACCTCTTATATTTCTAATTTTTTTATTATTTTAGGCTTTTTGTATTAAAACATTATTCTCATGCTGAAGGTTTTCCCCTGTTGCCAGGAGATCGCAAGGCTGAACGCCACGACTAGGCCTATCACAAGCTGACCACAGTTATTTTCCACTGTCGCAGTGCTTTTTACATCAACAGAACATATCGTCACTGTCCAAAGGAAAACAAGTATCTCCAAAATAGTGACTTTACATAAGAGGGCAGAACATTCTTAACTTTCAATCTAAGGTCATGTCTAAAGATTTTATTCCAAGCATTTTTTGGGCATTTCTGCTGGTCCAAGCTTCGTGAAATCCAATGTAAATGACAGCTGTCATGCTCAGATGATGGTGAAAGTAGAAATTGAAAAAATGGAGATAATGGACAATGACAATATATTGGGTGTTTTTATCAGTTGAGAGGCAAACGTAAATAAAGGAAAGCAGATCTGATTTGGGGCTGTGATACCTTTTTGAGGGCAGCAGTGAGTGAGGTTTGTTTATTTGAGCTTTGTATGTGGTTAGTCGGGAGATTCTAAGTACTGTCAGCTTGGAAGCAAAATTACAAATCAGCCATTTTGGCCACTTTAGGCTTATAGAACATTTCCAATTAAACCAGGTGTCGTCAGTATCGGCTGATATTATCGATTGATATTATGGTGGTTGGTATAGTGTAGTGGGTAACACCTCTCGCTTCTACGCTGCAGACTGGGGTTCAGTCCCCTGCCCAGGCAAGCACTCTACACTATACCAATAAGAGTCCTTGGGCAAGACTCCTAACACTACCTTCACCTACCTGTGTAAAATGATCAAAGTGTATCTCCCAAGATAAGAGTGTCTAATGCTTTAAATGTATTATCTACTATCTGATATATCGATCGTGCCCTAGATTCAGTGTGGCTACTTGGGTAGAGCATTACTTTATAAAATATTCTGTTGAATTTGCAAAGAAGTGGAATTTAGACAATAAAACAGTACTTTTTCTACACATACTGTGCTGAATGTCATTAAAAACAATTATAATATTCCAAAAATGAATGAAATTGAGTTGCCACCTTCAGATCGATTCACGATGATGTATTTCTACACCTCTAGTGGTCAGTGATTGGTGCGTGGTAAATCATGCTCAAGATGTGTTTTATGACCACCTGGTCTGGTTATAGTCTGATAGCCTGATGATTTATTATAGCGAAGCAGAGAGACGTTACCTAGGGCTGCGCGATATGGACAGGTTATTAGTATCGCGGTTATATCACTACTTATCTCTATTGTGAACTATGATTGGTCAAGGTGCTCACAGGTCAAAGTAAAAAAAACTGATTGGTTAGAGAGCTCATTTGCATATTTCTGCAGTTATCAGTATTGAGGAGGCCAATTTCGTGATACTGGTTAATGATGTATTGTGCAGCCCTGCTCCAAGGTATTTAGAAACATGCACATATTAGTGCAGATAAGAATGTGGCGAGCTGTAGCGTATTTGCATGCATAACCTGTCGTAACACCTGCACGGTGGCCATTTGTTGAAGGGCATCATTATTTCTATTGATTTGACATGATTACATCCCTTATTTTCTCCCATCAGAATCAAGATGACCCCTAACTCCACGTATCGTCACTGTGATATCAACCTCATAACTTCTTTTCCCTGTATTATTGTTATTTTTACGCCATTTAAAAAAAGAAAAATGTTTCTTCTAAATTGTGTCAGCATTTCGTGATAAATGGACCAGTAGAAATTATCCAAAATTGGAACAAAATCTGGTTATATCGTTGCTGTCGGAAAAAAAACGTATCTCCATTTTTTTGTCGTTTTTCAGTTTTTGCCACAGTTTGAAAATGCCTGTTGCTCTTTACATTGTTTGTGAATTTCATGATGAATGGACTAAAAGAAACGACCCAGAATGACTCATAAAAAAGTCTGGTTCCATTGACTTACATTAAAAGTAGAGTAGGTTTTTTCCTTCTCCTGTAAAGTTACCATTTTGGAGATACGAGGTTTTCTTCCAACAACAGCGATATATTAAAGGGTAAAAGGGGCATTCCGGCCTAAAACTAGCATTTAATGTTATCTGTCATATTATATAGTATTTTGCAGTGCAGTACGGAGCTCTGCTAATGACATCCCATATAAATAAAAATGATGCATGGCCACACTTTATTAATTCGTGGGAACTAAATCCTGATGCGTCGTCACGACTTAGTAAGGCATGGGAAAGAGATCATGCAAAGTCATGGCCGTGCATTAGGATCTCGTTCCCATGCCTTACTAAGTCATGGCTATGGCTTAATTATCTTGTTCCCACGCCTTAATAAGTCGTGGCGACACATTATAATTATTTTTTTTAATGCAGGATGTCACCGGCAGGGCTCCATAGTGCAGCATTGCAACCCCTTAGCAGTGTTTTCGTCCCTCAGTGTTCTCACTACAATACCCAGCAGGCATTACACAAATGCGTTGTACAGCCATTGAGAATTGCTGTATGAAATGAAGAGGCTAACAAATACAGACGTATTAAATACAGAGATATTCATCTTCCTAGCCGCAGTGATTATGTTCCTATTTTTTGCCCGAGTGCCCCTTTATCAACACTTCTCCTGTATATTTCATAGAGAGGTTTTGTTACAGTGACGATATATAAAGTGCACACAAACACACATGCATGTGTCCGAGTTTGTGCGCGCACTAACAGAGAAACATTAACATCCATTGCTTTGGTCTTGATCGACCCTTTTGTTTGACGGCTGTCCATATCCTCTCTCTTCCCTCCACAGTGATGTTATGGCATGACCAGCCAGTCAAAGGGGGCGTGGCTGCATGAGGGGGCCGCTTGCATGACTGATTTGATTTGATTTTGAGCCCTGCTGACAAAATAACACGTCAACACGCACTAACACCTCCCCGCCTCATCGTCCTGAACTCGTGTGC